AAGCTCGTACAAGGCTTGGGTCAAAAGTTATTGCAATAAAACTGTTTCCGAAAAAATCGGCTATTTTTGCAATTTTTGCCCCCTGCAGGCAAAACCGTTGACGTTAGGTCAAATCTGAGAGAATTACTCAGAAAGGGCTTTAATAGGGCTATCGAAAGCACTTTTCCGCGGCGCTGTAGCTCTATTGGTTCTCGAGTTATGCGTTGGTTTCTTGGAAATTTTCGACATTCGACCTGGAAATCGGCGAAATTTTGCCTTCAATGACCTCTGGTGACCTGACCTTTGACCTGACCAAAAAATTGACCGAAGTGATTTCGTCATTATTTTTGACGCTCTTTCGAACGCCGCCTTCTGCGTATCGCTACGTGGCCCAGGAGCCGAGTTACAAGGGGGGGGTGTTCAAACACACCCCCCCCCCCCAGCAGAGGGCGTGGAAATCCAGGACCCCCAGCCGGGCGCGGGTTAACATTACATCTGATATTATCAGGGGCCCGGGAACGATTTTCAAGTTGGGGGGGGGGGGCGAGCCTAAAATACCTGACATGATGCATATAAAACAGTGGCATAGCTAGGGGTGTAAGGGGACACGTTTCCCCTCCTCCCATCGGGTTCAAAGGGACCCTTGGGTCCGAGAGGCCCTGCGGCGCCATTTGACCGCTGAGGGTTAACGATGGCCATATTTCTACTCAGAAGGGCCCCGTGGGGCTCTTTAGAGCACCTCATGGGCCCTAAATAGCCACACTAAGGTCTCCATAAGGCCCACGCCGACTTCTGAGGGCCTCTTGCGGCTTTTAAGGACACCTCGGTGGTCTCCAAAGGCCCGTTAAGCCTGAAACAGACTCTTTCCGCAGTCAGGAAATCGCATGCGAGAGCCTATTCAAATACATGGAAGCACGCTCGCATCAATCGCACGCACCTCCCGCGAGCGAAGATGAGAGAGGAATTACAATGTTTTTGAATAGGCTCTCGCATGCGATTTCCTGAACGCGGAAAGAGTCTGCTTCAGCCTTTTCTGGCCTCTGAGAGGTCTTACCGGCCAATGAGGGAAAGTTCTAGGGGCATTTCCCACCTGTGATGGTCCCACACTTATTTTTCTGAGGGCCCCATAACGGCAACTATGGGGCCCTCGTCGGTGCCTATATGAGGGCCCACACCGGTGTCTCTGAGGGTTTCACACCCCCAACTTCGAGTGCCTATACACCAGTGCCTATTAAAGCCCTATATCGGCGGCTCTGAGGACCCACCCAACACCTGCGCATCTAAAGGCCACCCACTGATGACTTGAGGGCCCCACAACGGTGACCCTGAGGGCCCCACCGGCGTCTGACAGTACCATGCCGGTCTCTTAGGACCCCGCAGGACTTCTTCTGCCGGCCTAATAAGGACCCCTTGCCGGTCACTGAGACCCCCTGCCGGCTTGTAGAGAGTTCGCGTCAGCAGCTCTAAAGGCCCCACACCCGTCTGTAACGGCTCTACACCAGCGTCTATGAGGGCCCGGAGCAACGCCTGTAAGGACCCTCATCGGCGCCTCTGAGAGAATCACACTAGCACCTCTGATCGCCCACACCGGCACCTGCATGGCGGCCCCACACCGGTGCCTCCCTTACCGGCGGCTCTGAGGGCCCTACGCCGGTGATTCTGAGGGTGCCACCGATAACTGAAGGCACCACGCAAGCCCTTAGTGTAGCTGAGCTTTAACCCGCGCACCGACGGGGGTCTGCGCGGGCGCCAACTTAGTACCGACGGGGGGGGGGGGGGCGGATGACCGCCCCCCCCTGAGATCTCGAGAACGAAGCAAGATAACGACAAGCGGTAAACGGCATCGGATACGCACGGACAAGGTCTACAATTTTTACTAAGGTCATTTTCAGGTCAGGTCAAAGATGACGTCACAGGGGTCGAAAAAGTCAAAATGGCGGCGCTAGATATGGAGAGGGTTTTTCTCGAATAACTTTCGAAGTAGTCAAGATAGGAACAAACTAAGGGCATCATCGTGATCCTCTCGTCAATCCGCATCGAATGATATATATGTTGACCTCGAAAGGTCAAGGTCAAAGGTTGACCTCAGGTCACGTGACCTCGAGGTCATCATGTATATCATTCGATGCGTCTTGACGAGCTGAACACAATGAGACCATCCGCGCGGCTGTATCTTGTTCCTGTAAGGAGTTATTGGCAAAAAACCTTTGGTGACCTTTGATGACGTCACATGACCTTACAGCTGCCCAACAGCAAAACAGACCTCATGGTAGTGAAGGTTGATCGTATGTGAAGTCATGTATGGTATATGGGGCCATTCCGACCCGTTTTAGTGGTAAAAACAGGGAGTTGATTTTTCCCCCATTGACTTATAATGGGGAGGTCGCGAAATTGACCTGACCTTAGGTCACCGACATCAAAATTCCGAGATATACAAATTGTAGCTACTAATGACCTAATAACATCCTGCGACTTTCAAAGGCCTCCGACATCTACTGTAGCTCTGGCACGGTGACAAAGTTGCAAAAAAGTGACTTGAGGTTGGGTCATTCAAAGTGACCTGGTGACCTGACCTTAAAAGTTAGGAGGTTCAAACTTGCACACCATGTGTAAAATTGATGAGAGAATAGTCATACCAAATTTCGCGGCGCTACGCGCCGCGGTTTTCCCGCTATCCGCGAAAAACCTCAGGGGGGGCGGATATCCGCCCCCCCCCCGTCGGTGCGCGGGTTAATCCCATACCGGCCCTCCGAGGGCGCCACGTCAGTGCACTCATTGCCCCACACCCCTCCCTCACACCCGGAGCGGGTAAACTGTGTTATACCTATAGCAACGATTTTACCACCGTTGTACGTTATGTATTTCTCAAAGTTGACTCAAAATGGTCCAGTACAAAATCTGGCCTGCCAAACTTATGGCCAAGGTCAGGCCCAAACACGTTTTGGGCAATCAGTCTCAGTCCATGACTCCATTCTTCGGCAACTACGGTGCAAGGCCGATACTGTAGAAACTTGCAATTTGTACCCTTGACCTGACCTTGACCTTGACCTCAAACTTTAAATTAAGTGCATGTTTTAAGTTATTCGTGATGAGATCTTTCGATTGGCGTTTGAATTTTCCAAATCGGACCAATAGTTCGGGAGATAACAGGGGGGTAAAATTTATCCCCCCCCCCAGCCCCGCGCGTTCGGCTGGAGAGTGGAGACCCCAGCCCCGCGCGGGTTAATGCATTGGGTGAGCCAAAATTGTTTTACAGTGGCGCTATTAACCTTCGCCCCAGTGGGGGGGGGGGCATATGTTACCACCCTGTCGCGTTTTTGGCGTGTGAATAAAAAACCGCGGCGCGTAGCGCCGCGCCGCTTGGGGTAGCTTTTGGTACATTAATTTTGGATAATGTGTGAAATTTTTGACCCCAGGTCATGTCAGGTCAGGTCACCAGGTCAAGTTAACTGACCAGGCCTAAAAAAAGTTTGCAATCATGTCCAGCCTACAGTGTTTGTCAGAACGGTTTCAAACTTGGTGGATTGCATGCTGTTATGGGCGCCTACAATTTGTATATCTCGGATTTTTTATATCCGTGACCTAAGGTCAGGTCAGTGGCGTGACCTTTCCATTACAAGTCAATGGAGAAAAATGAAAATGCCTCTAGATCCGTGTGTACGCATCGGAACAGTCCAAATATTTCAGAATCACAATGATTTAGTCCACTCGTGATGACCAAGGTGTCATTTTTGCTGATAGCCTCTAGACAGGTCATCCGAGGTCACTTGTGGCTACAAACAGTTTTTTGCCAATAACTCGCGATTGGAAAGAGATAGAACGCTGGGGATGGTCTCATTGTGTTTGTCTTGTTGAGACGCATCGACTGATATGCAACATGACCTTTTCCGGTAAGGTCATGACCTTGACCTGAGGTCAAATTTTCAAGTTGACTTTTCAAGGTCAAATTATAGTTCATTCGACGCGTCTCGGCGAGGGGAACACGATTCTGGCAATAGAAATGTTGTGGCTTTTTGTAGTCGAAAGTTATTGTCGAAAAACACTTTTCGTAAAAACAGCTATTTTTGGAGTTTTTGCCCTCTGGAGGCTAAACCGTTGACCTGAGGTCAATATTGATAATGACCTTTTCAAAAGAAGAGTTCAAAAGCTATCGATTGCTATTCCATGCGTTTTTCTAGCTACCATAGTTCATGAGATAGCGGCATGTTTTCTGAAAAATATGACAATTGGCAAATTTTGACCTTTGATGACCTCTGGTGACCCCAATATTGCTCTAAGGTGAAAAATGACAAATACTTTCAAACGTACGCATTGAGGGCTATCGACTGCTTTTTACCGCGTCTTTCTAGCCCTCTTAGTTTTTGAGTTAGAGGTGGGTGGTAACATATGCCCCCCCTCACTAGGGCGAAGTTGGCCGAGACCGCCACTGGGGCGCGGGTTAAATCAAGCTCTCGAACCGATTTAACATCATTTCTTGCATGATGCCTGATGGCTACAGGAAAAAAGAACAGCTAAAAAAAACTACAAAAACTATGGAATGCCTTTCTGAAAGCTATTGAGCACCCCCAATGATTTTTGGAAAACTACACCCATGAATGACCCAAAAGTCGGGAAAATCGGGACCTGTTAGAACGTCTTAAAGTGGGGCTGCTTTGGATTTTCGGGGTGCTGATCACGGGAATATTGTCTGTCTAATATGGGTACCTAATATACCTATGAATATTGTCTGTAGGTAAGCCTCAGCCTTCTTTGTCGCATGGTGGCCGAACATGAGTGTGTCAAGTTACGTTAGTCCTGCCTGAGGTAAAAATGAAAGATGAGCTCATCAAAAATAAGTTGATAATACCGTGAAAGGTCAACATTTTGTGCATTCAAATATCACTGCAAGATTACTTTACTTTCACTGTGCAAATGGCAATGGCCGCAAAGGAAATTTACCCTAATGAAGTGGCGGCCATGCTACCATATTCAGGAGCTACCAAATGACCTTGAATATATTTGCTACGAAAATGACGCAGGATCAGTTAGATCAGTTATAGGAGGAGGATATGGGAAATGGGAATGCTGCGGTTAAATCAAGGCTATAGAACTGGGTTAAATGGTTATTTTTTTTCCGCGTTTCTGACAGCTTGGCGCCTCAAGATACACTATTTTGTAGGAGTTTATTATTTAAGTAAGCTCCTATAGTTTTGAAAGTGCTAGTTGATATTGGCATTTAATGCGAGCAAGATGAGCCAGAGCCGGCGAGCCATTTGGTCGACGTTCATCGTTACACCTTCATAGGTAGGTAGGTAGGTACCCGCAAATCAAAATTGGTGGATTCATAAATATCTAGGTTTTGGAGGTTGTTGTACCCACTCCCAACACACTCCTCAAAAATTCTTCTAACTTGCAAAACCTATGGATTCCAATCCCGGCATGAGCAGAGCAGACATCGCTCAAAGGTTTTCCAATCTTGATCTTGGGTTCTCCAACCCTCTTCGGCCTGAAGCCAGATACACAACCACTTAACCTAAAAATATTTGACTTACCATTGCTTGCAATCTATTCATGCAAGTCACTTTTTTCTTTTCCCCCAGTAGGCAAACATCAGTAGGTCAGGTTAGGTAAGGTTAGGTTATGTTCTGATCATTTTCTCATGCTCTATTACCTTTGCTAAATATTTTCTCTTTTTTTATTCACCGTTTTTCTTGTGCTTTAGTATTTTGACGTCATTTTCATCACATTTTCATAACGTCAAAAACTAATCGCATCATTTTTTTCTTTTATAGGGCAACGTTGTAAGTTCTCTATATACCGTGGTTGTATGTTTCGTTTTCGTCGCGGAAGCGTGCTTTCTCTTCAGTGTGTATTGTGCAGCAGTGCTGTGAAATGTGCTGGGGTTTTAGTATCTTATTTTACATTTTTGATGCATTTAAGCATCATATCTGAATTCAGGACATCAAATAGTGTAAGAATGTGCATTTTTTCTTGTTAAAAAAATATTGCGGACCTAAAGTAAATATTTACCGTCTGCTCTACTAAAAACCCAATTCCTTCCTTGCTATGATGCAGACATGCACTGTGGTGAAATGCAAGTTTTTAAAGTAAAAATTACTGAGTTTTTCTTTTCTTATTCAAGATCAAGAATTTTGCCTTTTTATTATAGGCAAAATTCTTTAAAAAATTACATTTCACTCCTACAAATATGGGGATAGGTTCCAGTTGTCCACTTGATTTGCCAGTGTTTTTGTTGCCTGGGTTAACAATTAAATGTTTGTTCTTCATTTGTTTGTGCAGACCACACAGCCGAGATGCACGGTGTAGTGACTGGTGCTTTATTGATGTGTTTTAATGGTCTTATTCTGATTGCGCATCTGGTTTGTAGAATTTAAACAGGATGTGGTGTTTAATGGCATGGTGACACTGACACCTGACATCTACCTATGACTTGCCCATGACTTGTAATGAGGCTCTGAAACAAGCAAAACCTAGCTCAAAATGTAACTTTTACTAGTAGAAACATTGCCGACTGTAGAGTATCTAGCAGGCAGGGGTGGAGAATTAGGGGTTTTTGGGGTGCTCGAGCACCCCCTGAAATTCAAAAGTCACCGTGCAATAGTGTTCCAGGGGTGCTTAATTTACGTCTGAGACACAAACTGCTTTGCGTAAGCCGCGAGGAGAGTGATGCTGCTTGGAAAACGTTCCTACACATGCTTTTCTATGCAAGATTTCGAAGCTTCCATTTGCCAGATGCTAGAAAAGCACCCGCTGTGAGTATGACAATTCTCCGCCCCTGCTAGCAGGTATCTATTAATGCAGTACATAGGTAACAGTGTGATAAAGAATGCCACATTAGTAGAAATACAGTTTAAAACCAATGCCTGCAGAGTGGAGGCATATTTCCTGGACTGTAACATAACACATCATTAAAGGTGCTTAATAGAATGCCTTCATGCAGGGCTTCCAGCCTGCTGCTCAAATTTGGAACCTAAAGCTCAGCATATTGTAGATAAATGATGACATCATCCTTGTCCTCAGTTTAGAGTTGCCCTCTCACAGTTTGCCAGCTGGCCTAAATAACAATGCAGCTCAAAGAACAGCCAGTTTGCCCTCTCCTGGTCTCAGTTTCACTGCTTCTGAGTGACCAGTCAGGGTCCTTTGGCACCAGGTCACAAAGAGGACAACTCTAGCGCTCACCATTTATTGAGATAGATCCTAAATTTAATCCAGCAGATCTAACTATCATTTGTCTTATAATTTCTTGTGTGGCTTGATTCTGAAATCAACCATTTTTTTCCTTTGCTAATTAATTATGAAAATACTAGTCATCTCTCCTGATATTTGAAAGTGTGTGTTATTTTAACAATTAGGTATTCAAATGCATCTGTCCATGTTTCAAGTTGTATTGATACAATTACCAGCACTTCATCACAGTTCTTTGATACACTGACACAACTGGCCACATACCTGATGATATGCATCATTAAACTCACACATATGCTGATGAGGATAGCGGCAACTATTTACCTGAATAATGGACTAAACTAGCTACCTTACTGCTAGCCTGTTCTTCCATGTGATGTGTGCTTTCAAACAGACACGATGATATGAAACAGGGCTGGCCACCCCTCTTGGGGCGACTCAGGTGACAGATGCTAACGCAAACGCGGAAGGCAAACGAGAAACGCATTCATGTGGTCTGCTGAGAAGAGCACGGGTTCTGCCGAAAGTCGAGCTGAAAGCCGGCTCCGGTCCGCTGGTGATTGGAGACAAACTTGACCACGAACTGGCCGGCGGAGTAGTCTGTCGGAAAGACGGTTGAGTTAGGATACGGTTAGGGCGTGGGTCGTGGGCGTGATTTGGCTGTTTGTGCACTGCTAACTGTTTGGTTCTTGGTATATATGTAGTTTACAGTAGGTTACGGTCTAGAAGAGGGCCCAACCTGAACGATAGACTGAATGCGACGCAGTGTCTTTGAGAGCGAGAGGCAACCCTTGGGGTGGCCGTCCCATCCGACTGTTGCTTTTAGGTTCTGTATCTAACGGCAGCGAGCGTTAGCTGACGAACCTAAGAATAAAGTTATGCTTAGTGTCGAGTTCTGTTTTGTTCTTATGGAGCTCATGACAACGTTTCAAATTTCATCCAGAGATTTGCATGTACCTAACTTCGCGTGCACTTTTCAGTCTGTTAACATCATAGTTGTTTTGCTATTTTTCGGGACCACTCCATCGGCGCTGAACTGTTCCCGGGCTGGGGACGGGGCAGGTATGGTGGCCCGTCACGCTCGCTGCATGAATGCATGAGCGGGGTTAAACCGCACGCCGCTTTCTGAGGCCAAGGTCGAGGCACATCCTGCTCTCAAGGGCTGTGTAATGTGTTGACTGCGAGCATGTCCCAGTCCGCGAGAGTGCGGTGCTGGCAAAAGCCGCTTGCTGCTAATCATGCGACAATCCAGGTTAAAGCGTGTACTGTCATGTAATTATGGCGTACACCGGTGTAAGATATTCGCTTGTGATCTGATTTTGAGGCGATATTACGGTCAACTGATATCTAATCAACGTTACCAATGTCCAAGCCATAACGGCAAGGATATTGAACAGCATTTCTGATTGGCCCCCATGTTGTCCGCGGCCGGAGCACCGCCTCCGACTGGGCCCCGCCGCGCGCCACAAACCTGTGACGTCGGCGTTGTCCGTGAGCGTGCTGCTGGCGGCCGCGTCGTTGAGCCGCTCGCCGCAGAGCCGGTCCAGGCTGAGCACCAGAAAATCGTGCCGACATTTGATGGGTCCGACGCCCGCCTGGCCGGCCGGCACGGTCGGCGTGCCACCGGTAGCTGTGGCCACGATCCGAGGGTCGATACCGCCATCTGACTCGGCACCGCGACAGACACACGCACACGCGGCCACAGTCCAGTGTCGGTGCATGCAGTCGGTCAGGGGGGGGGGGGGGCATGTGTTAGGGTGGGGAGGGGAGTCGACAGTATTGGGTTTGTCGGTCAGTTCGTCGCTGTCAGTTGAAAAACGTTCTTAACCAGTTAGTGTTCCTTGCTATATGCATAGATGTTTGCAATATTTATGTTTGTCGGGCTTTTTGCATAGTTCAACATCCCTATCAAAAGTTCAATCGCAGAGTGGCATCGCCAATTTAGCATACAAAACATTACGGATAATAATAATTCGAATTTCCTCGTGTTACTCTCACCTGATTCCTCATTTTCAAAGTTAACAATGCTAAACTCATTTGCCATAGCTTGCGATCCAAAGTTGTCGGTGGAGTAAGTAATGCTGCAGAAGCCCGACTCTTTCCTGATACATATCATGTAGTTGAGGTTGTTCTGCAAAAAATAATGGCCATTATCAGATTTCTGTGAAATGCTCAGGGAGTTGAAAGAGTACGGCTTCCTAGTAGAGGCGGGTGCAAAACCTTAATGGATGCGACGCCAGAACGGCAAATCTGTAGAAGAAGGCAGAAATGTGCATTGATCCGAGTGATGGATCTATGATTTCAGTAGTGGATCTTGAAGCAAACTGCAGGTTAGGATCTATGATTCCATCGGATCCGGCGTGAAAAATTTATCGATCTCATACGATCTGACGATCACCCAAGAACATGGATCTTTGTTCTGAGTGGATCCCACCATGCACAGGATTTAAAACCATGTTTCAAAGGGTTTCTATGTCAATAAGTGCCACAAAACTATGGATTATGAAGTGCAATCACATAGTTCTACTAAGACAGAACGTTTGTGGGTCGCAACGAATGTTCTGTATTTCTGTGTTGACAAAAAATAAGTGAGGATCTATCGTCTCACTGGATCTCAAGCAAAAAATGAGACTGGGATCTGTGATCCGTACGGATCTCTCGATAAGCTAGAGCCGGATCTAAGATCCTGTCGGATCCGAGATCAAGATTCGTGGGATCAGATCCCAGATTCATTTTTTCGGATCCATGCACATGTCTGGAAGAAGGTGAGCCCGTTTGCGACCACGCAATAGTAGCAGCCTGGTTTTATCTGCTCTACCGTTAATGCCTGGAAACGCTAGCACTTTGCCTTGTCGCTTTGAAGGGACGAGTATCCAATCAATGATTGGCTGGTCAGTGAAAATGTTTAGCCACTGAAGGTCGCACGTGTAAGCATGCATCATACATGCATGGATACTCTAGTCTAAGACACATTGGATGAACGACTCGGCTGATGTCTATTTGTGACACAAATCTTGCAGCAATGACTAACTCATCTCACCATATACCCGCCGTCCGTCGGCTGTCCAGCCTGGCCCTGTGCCGCCGGCCTGTAGTTGAAGCTGGCGATGCGACCGGCGCGGCCAGTCAGGTACTGAAGGCACAGCGGCGGCGCCCGGCCGGCCTCGGTGCGGCGCAGTTGGCTGATTCTGACCCGCCAGCGGTGTCCAGACGGTGACGAGGTGACTACCCGCAGCTGCACGGGACCCGTCCGCTCGCCCACCTCCAGATATACTGCCGTGTTGAGACGTAAGGTGGTCAGGACGCTATGTCGTCAGACGGGTTCTTAGCTGAGTGTCGGAAGGACTCTGCTTCAGCGATAAATTTTGGCGTGTTCATGGATTTTATTGAGCGAATGATTGCACACGGATAATCAGTAACAAGAAAGAAACTACAAAAAGCTCATGGCCCTGCGTTCTTAACTGTGGAAAAAATATGAAACTCTCCATATGAATCCTGTCATCCATTCCCTCACCAGCAATCTGATTATAAGCAACTGACACCTTTTATTTTCACCTTAGCCTGACTCTCGACTATACTCACAGTGTTGACCATCGTTCTGGCCGCAGAGTGCCGGCACTATGCTGTTGCTGTCCTGGCCGCTGACGCTGAACACGTCTCGTTTGCAGGTACCGCTCGTCGGTCCCGCCATCTAGAGGCATAGTGCATAGCAACATATCAGCAGCGAGTACTCGGGTAAGAGAAAGGGGCTTGTTTGCCTAATATTTTCATTAATGTTTGTCGCCATGGAAGACGTGATGCTTGATATTGATTGTCATTGCGATTGGTCCAGATGCATCGAATATTCCTTTCGTTAATTATAAAAACACTACTTGACGTTGGCTAATGTTCTTAGAATAAGCATCAAGAAATTGCCAATATATTTATTTTCCATCGAAACATTTTCGCAGAGTTTCCCGTTCTCTATGTCATGCTGTTCTAGAATGATTGATATCTCAAATGTTTCGAATCATCATTTTGTCCCATTTATTCTCAAAGTAGGGGAGAGTGGGGAAAGATGCCCAGGGTTTTGCTATGTCATGTATTATTCGAAAATGACGATGGGAAAGCAAAAACTTGGAGTTTCAACAGAAGCCGACATCATTTTTCTCCAAACATATCACACTTTCGTGCCTGAAATATTATAACTTTTTTTGCTATTAAGCATTTTCTTGAAGAAGTGAAAGGGGGCATCTTACCCCACAGGGTGGGAAAGACGCCCCCTGACGTTGGGAAAGATGCCCCCTGCACTATAAGTGACATAAATGGGCACGTGAATCGCCTGAACGAATCAGTAGTCCCTTCGAGCCTGCAGTAGACACCAAACGTCATCATAAGGGCCCTCAAAAGTAGTCGTAAGGGGCTTCAGAGGTCATCGTTAGGGCCATCATAGTCCAGCGCGGCCAAACAAGTCTCCGTGGTGGCGTTCGGAGACCACTGTGGGGCTCTCATAGGTCTTCATGATGCTTGAGGGCCCTCGAGCCCATCGTGGGGACCTCCGATGCCAGCGCGGCCCGTGGGGCCAACGTGGGAGCCCTCAAAGGATGTCGTGAGGGGCCCTGGAGCCATAATGGGGCCCACAGAGGCCGTCGTGAGGGCTCTCAGAGTCACATGCCGCCCAAAAAGTCGCTATGTGGGCTGAGAGACCGGCATGGGGAGCACCCGACCGTACTGGACTCTCAACAGTCCCAGGTCGGCTTTTGTCTACATCACAAGTACGTAATAAATTATTTGACGGGCTGTTTGAAGGACAGCCTACGGATTTAGGGGGGCGTCTTTCCCCATCAGGACATGGGGCATCTAACCCCAAGGTACCGAAGTAACATTAAATCAGTACAATTTGTTAGCCATAAAACTACACCCTGAAACAAACTGTTTGGGACACACTACACGCATGCTAATGTATCACGACTATAGCAAGGGACGCAAAAATTATTTACCTTCTTTGATATTTACAATGTTCTGACACCAAAATATTTTTTGAAAGCAGCAAATAAAAAACATACAATCATCAGCCAGCCGATGCCCAACTGAGCTTCGCAATTTTTTGTGCAGTTAACAAGGCAGGCTTCCGCTTTACGCTAAGAACATTAATTTCCAGGTCCGATTCTTTGTTTCGCCGCTAGAGGGGGTGGGGCGTCTTTCCCACCCTGGGCATCTTACCCCACTCTCCCCTAACTTGATATTGTAACTTAAATTTTAATAACTTCTTATTTGTTGCATTTTTCATATTTCTCCACAACCTTTGTTTTCATTGGGATGGCGAATGTGAACGGCATTTTCGTATCCTCCAGGTCCATTAGCACGTGGTTATCCCGATTATATGGCTCTCGTTTCAGAATGGGCTCTGAGCCGCCGGCGGTGTTGCGCCAGTGCTCGGCGGAGCGGGGCGACGCCGGTCTGGCTCTGGAGCACACCATTACTCTGCTGGGACGCGGCACGGCCGTCACGCGCTTCTGCCTACGTCGGCGGCCCGAGCGAAAGTCCCTGGCCGTTCGCCGCGAGACGGGCCAGCTGATCAGCCTCAAGGCGAGCGTGCCGGACCGGAGCCGCGGCGACGACTCCGAGGTGCTGCTCGACCTGCGACTGGTGAAACAGGTGCGCCGCGGCCGGGCGAGCCGGGAGTTCGAGCGCTGGCCAGAAGATGCCCGCCGCTGCGAGCCGGCCAAGTGTTTTGTCGTCAGCTACGGTGCCGCATTCACGCTCAAGACGCTCTCGGTGGCGTGCCTGTCCGAGCGCGAGTGCGACACGTGGCTGCGCGGGCTGGAGGCGCTGGTGCGAGAGGCGCAGCAGACGCCCTATCCATCACAGGTGGTTCGCTGGCTCTTCAAGGAGTTCTACGGGATGGGCGGCTCAGTGACCCTGAAAGATCTGAAGGCGTTTTTGCCTCGTGTCAACTGCAAGCTGTCCACAGCACGGCTCAAAGAGCTCTTCCAGGAAGCAGATGGGTCGAAGAATGGTCGCATCACGTTCGACGATTTCCTGCGGTTGTACTACCGGATCGTGTGGGACCCCGCTGTGCTAGTTGGTGGCGTCGAACGGTACGTGCGTGCGGAGGAGAACGTTTCCGTGTCTGCGTTCTGTCGGTTCCTAGTCAACGAGCAGCAAGATCGGCTAGGTCGGGACGAGGCTCTGGCCGGCCAGTTCATGCGCGACTACCTACAAGAGCCGCAGAGGGACGTGAAGGAGCCTTTCTTCACTGCTGATGAGTTCGTCAGCTTCCTCTTCAGCAAGCAAAATGAGCTGTGGGACATGAGGAATGACACGGTCACGCAGGATATGACAAGGCCGCTGGCTCACTACTGGATCGCTTCCTCGCACAATACGTACCTCACAGGAGACCAGTTCTCGTCAGATAGCTCCGTAGAGGCGTACGCGCGCTGTCTTCGTGCTGGCTGCCGCTGCATCGAGCTGGACTGCTGGGATGGTCCGGACGCGACACCGCTCATCTTTCACGGTCACACGCTGACTTCCAAAATCAAGCTAGTGGACGTGGTTCGGTGCATCCGGGACAACGCGTTCGTCGCGTCCGAGTTTCCAGTGATCCTGTCCATCGAAGACCACTGCAGTCTGCCGCAGCAGCGTAAGATGGCGGCCGCCTTCCACGAAGTGTTCGGCGACATGCTGCTGACGGCACCCGTTGACAAAACAGAAAGTGAGCTGCCCTCACCGCAGGCGCTGCGTCGCAAGATTCTGATAAAGCACAAAAAGCTTCCGGAAGGATCGGATGAGGTCGTGGTCACCAGCCAAGACGACGGCTTCGATGGCCTTGACCTCAGCGACAGTCTGAAGAACGGCATTCTCTACTTGGAGGACCAGGTGTACGGCGATTGGACGCCGCATTTCTTCGTGCTCGCCAATCAGCGACTGTACTTCACTGAGGAGCACTCGGCTGACCAGAACGACGAAGACGGCGAGGACTCGGAGCTGCTGCCACCGAAAGCCAATGTGCCCAATGACGAGCTGCACTTTGGTGAGAAGTGGTTCCACGGTCGGCTACAAGGTGGCCGTCCGCGTGCAGAGCAGCTGCTCCGCGAGTACTCGAACCTCGGTAACGGCACCTTCCTAGTCCGTGAGAGTGAGACGTTCGTCGGCGACTACTCGCTGTCGTTCTGGCGAAACGGTCAGGTCAACCACTGCCGCATCCGCACACGACCCGAATGGGGTCAGAACAAGGTGTACCTGATCGACACGGTCACTTTTGACTGTCTGTTCAACCTTATCAATCACTATCGCACCAACCCGCTGCGCACACAGAACTTCACCATGCTGCTAACGGAGCCTGTGCCGCAGCCCAACCAGCACGAAAGCAAGGACTGGTACCATGCTGATTGTTCTCGGGACAAGGCTGAAGAGATGCTGCAGCGCGTGCCTCAAGAAGGTGCATTCCTCGTGCGACCCAGTCAGCGTGATGCCGCGGCCCTGTCTCTATCTTTCCGGGCTGACCGCCGTATCAAGCACTGTCGCGTGCGACGCGACGGTCGCCTCTACGTCATCGGCAACGTCCAGTTCGAAAGTCTAGTCGAGCTGGTCAGCTACTATGAAAAACATCCGCTTTACAAGAAAGTGCGCCTGAGGTACCCGGTGACGAGCGAGCTGGTGGCGCGTGCTGCACTGGAGAAGAATGCGCCTCCGACTGATGGACATGCTTCTGGTACCTACATGGACCCAGCCTCCTTCGCAGCTAAGGTGACAGTCAGGGCACTGCATGACTATCGTGCACAGCGTGACGATGAGCTTACGTTCTGCAAGCACGCCGTCATCACGAACGTGAGCAAAGAGAACGATGGCTGGTGGCGCGGTGACTACGGCGGGCGTCGCCAGCTCTGGTTCCCCAGCAACTACGTGGAAGAGGTGGAGGCATCGGATGAGGCTGACCCGTCTGTGCTGGGCTCGCTACAACAGGGATCTGTGGCGCTTCTTCGAGCACAAGTAGAACTCCTCCCGGCCGGTCCACCGTCCGATGGTGCTCCGTCCCTAGAGTGTATCGTACGCGTACTGCCTGCCACATCTCTGACGCCGGTGGACCTCGGCTGCGCCAACTGGTCAGAGGGTCGCGACTGGGAGCAGCGGATCCGTCAAGTAGCAGAGAGCGGTCAGGAGACTGGCGGTGCTCGGAGAGATATGGAACGCATCAAGCGCATCGCCAAGGAACTGTCGGCTCTGATTGTCTACTGTCGTACAGAGACCTTCCAACCGGAGCGACTTCGCGAGTCTCGTGCCTTCCAGGAGATGTCCAGCTTCCCGGAGACCAAGGTAGAAAAGTGGCTGAGTCCGCCAAACGTCAAGTTCTTCCTTTGGTACAATCAGCTGCAGCTGAGCCGCGTGTATCCCAAGGGACAGCGCATCGATTCGTCCAACTACAATCCGGTACCTATGTGGAACGCGGGCTCTCAGATGGTGGCGCTCAACTACCAGACTCCGGACCGGGCGATGCAGCTGAACCAGGCACGGTTCATGCAGAATGGCGGTTGCGGCTACGTGCTCAAGCCGGCTTTCATGCATGGCGAGTCGTTCGACCCGTTCGACAAGACCACGCTGCCATTCCCGCCGACTGTGTACGCGCTGCGGATCATCGCCGGCCGCCACCTGAGCAAGCAAGGCCGGGGTATCGTCAGCCCCTTCGTCGACGTCGAGGTGATCGGTGCCGAGTACGACAACTGCAACAAGTACACGACGCGTGTCGTGCCGGACAACGGACTGGCGCCCGTGTGGAACGAGACCTGCGAGTTCACCGTGCACTGCCCGCCGCTGGCGCTGCTCCGCTTCGCCGTCCACGACGAAGACATGTTTGGTGATCCCAACTTCATCGGCCAGGCGACCTACCCGCTGCAGTGCGTGCGGCCGGGGCTGCGGAGTGTGCCTCTGAAGAACGGCTACGGAGAGCCGCTAGAGCTGGCCTCGCTGCTGGTGCACCTGGAGATCCGTCAGACAGAGCGGCCGCCGCCTTCGGTCAGCCAGGCGCTGGAGGGACTCGTGCTGCCCTCACCCGATGGTGGCTCGGTGATCGCCCCTCTGCGCGCGCAGTGAGCCGGCTCTTCCAGTCCCTGCGCAGATTGGACAGCCCGGCGACGCCGTGCGTGCCGCGAGGTGGTCGCTGGTGGAGGACTGGGGGCTCGTCGAAGCATGGGAGGAAAGCATTGCAGTTGATAATTTAAGAACTTTGCGCGGTGGAACCGCGGTTGCGAATTTACTGGAGAAGTCACCTGACCGCTGATGCGCTGTGGCAATGGGCCCATATCCCCTTGAAGTGTGAGTGGGTCCAGACAAGAGTACACAGAATAGATGTGTGGTTGGACCAATGACATGCGAGCTTCAGTGTGCTTTTAATGAAGCCGCTTTGACGAGTGTCGTGGACCTCAGTGGGTCGCGAAGGGCGCGGTGTCGACCAGCTTAACGGCTGTACAGGGTGTTGATGGACGGAGCGTCTGTCTTTCCACAGATTCGTGCAACTCTTGGCGGGATTTGTACCATATATTTTCTACTTTGTTCCGCTTTGTGATGCATTATATATATTGTTCTATAAGTGGCGGTTCATCCACTGTAGCGACGGCTACGCTGAGGTAATACTGCTGCTGGTGAGACGACGGAACATGCCCATTTCGGACGGGTTTTTTGTAGGGTCATTAGGGATTTTGTGAACTATTTTATCCTAGGTAATGGTGAAGATCATAAGCTGGAGCTTCCGTAGACTGTTTTTGCTAGTTTTGTTGGGTTTTGCTTAAGCTGTCGCTACCGCAATGTGCATGCTAGGAAAATTTCGTTTTTTATACCCGATGAGCATTGGAGAAGGTATTTGTTTGCTATTATTACGCTTTGCGCCGCTCTACGGCATGCTGTATATTATGAACTGTTGGAAATGAAAACTCATGACTCGCCACAATGTTATGGACTACTGGGTACGGGCGAACGAGCGTGTTTCCTGTGGCCGCTGCGCAAACGCCCTCAATGGGACGGTGGCGGGGAGCGTGTCGTGCCTTCTGCCGTGGCTGACGCCGTCAGTCGGTGTCTCTGTGCTATGAAAGCTTGTCGAGCAGGAGCCGCATCGAGCGCGGGGTAGGAGCGCAATAGACACTCGGCCGCTGCCATTTACTGTGATTGGCGATATGGTGCTACGCGAGAAGCTAACCAAGCGAGAGAGAATGGTCTGCGGCGAGAGGCGACGCCCATGGGCTTTGGTCGTCGAACTGCCGCCGTCCGGGTGCTGCCCGGTCGGTGCTGAGCAATGCTGGCAATCAGCAGCCCTGTCGGTCCAGCTATCGTTATTTGTCGTAATATACACTATGCATTGTTACTGAGTGTTTCTGTGTCAGAAGTTGGTTTGGCCTGACGATGATCACCTGGCGCGATCAATTACCTGGAATTCGGTGAGGTCAATTCGAATCTGCGTCACATCCGGCGACGCTTTGTGCACGGTGAGGATGCACGATCGCACTGCCACGCCCGCGACCGGGTGCTCCGGGTTGACAAAGTACGTGTTGTTGACACTTGTCTCGCCCCCGCACGTCTCGCTCTCTGAAAAAAGGATCATTACTAGGGTTCAGGTATGACGGGCAGAAAAGAATTGCGGTGCACGGTTGCACCGTTAATCATTACACCAGCCTTAGCTTGATATGTCTACGTAATGTGTTCTGATACAGCCCCATGTTATTAGTCCTCAAGTTTACAGCTCAACTCACTACTTTTGAACGTTCGAAAAGGTGCCTCGACTCACGGACACAGCAAACGCCGAAGCCGTGCGCGCATGCACCGCTGGCCACCCCGTGGTGTCGGCTACACTCTGAGGGCAGCAGACACGTCCCCCAGCCTCCGCCGATCTCCGAGCCGCACGCGTCGTTCGCGAACCGCAGAACAGTCAGCACCGGCAGACCTGTGAACGGGACGGGTCAGGTCAGCCGTGGTTGACGCCTGACGGGCACATTTGTTCGACGTGTGGTGATGAACGGCTCTATTGTGGAGTGTCATAACTCGTATGACCTCAACTCGAAAGAGGCCATTATTAACCTTCGGGGAGGGGGGGGGGGGCTTGCCCACGGCCTTTTTTGCAATTACTCGGAACCCGCTGACGATAGCTGAAAGCAGGCTTGCGTGACTCCAGCTTGATTTTTAGGTTAGGTCAGAAAGTCAATAAGTGGACCTGTATACGGCACTGGTGTCGCAAATTTGCAACGTCATCAATGCCAGGGAGCCTTTCGCACGGGCATTGCACATTGGTACAGGACTTAATTCTTAGTTAGGCCTCCCAAGTCCCGAGCTCTCACAGCTTGTGATATCGGATTTTTCGTAAGGGTCACCTTAGGTCAGGTCAGTCACGTGACATCACCATTGATCATTTAGTCAATAGAAAATACAGGGAAATACTCTGATCCTGTTATATTGGCCCGAGATATGATGACCATCTCAAGCACATGGAATCATGATTTCATAAGCTCCTTGCAAGGTCCGACGTTTAAGGATTGTTGACTGCTTGACGTCATGCACGACTTAGTTCACCGGAGGTTTTCGTCACTATCTCGATAGAATTGAGCTACTAGCTAGCGAGCCAGGAAAGCCACCAATGGACTCTGCCGACTCTGGAAGATCTGCCAAATCGAAAAATATGCGACTGGAGCACCTTCGACCAGCTTGGTGACCTGAGAGGCTGTGACCTGCGTCCTGACGTAACCTGAGTCCTGACCTTGACCTGAGTTTTATGGTCTAAGCTTTCCTCGCCCAAACAAAAAGTATATCGTTACCATTTACCTACCTAATAACGTTACCAAGCCATGGCGAACATGATTCCCATTTCCCGAAACGCAGCTCCGCGACCAATTTCGGGCAAGTTATGTAGGTACCAAAAACTGAGCCCGTACCTACTTTGGGTCAGTTCAACAAACTTCAGAGGTCACCAGTTGACCTGAGACCTTGAAATCGGGTACCAGTGCCTGCGTCGCGTAACGGCGCACACGCTCGTTTTACCGGGAGACTTAAGTTCAGTTAGTTTCAACTTTTAAACGGTTCCACCCCTCCCCTTCGGTGTATAGAAAACCGATAGGTCCGGTCACACTGTGCCTATATAAATAGGTCCGGTAAGGGTTCGACTATAGGCTCACTGTAAACAAATACTTACGTCGGCGGTGAGCTGCTTGGCGGTGAACTGGTGAAACATGGGCGAATTTAAAGCCTAAAAATAGCCGCAACCGGTTATTTTTATGTTGATAAGGCTGACCTCAGCTCCCGGGTCTGCTAAAACGGGCACGCTCATGAGCCAGTCACACGTGTGCCAAAGGGAGTGACACGTCGGGCCGAGGACTTTTCTTCCTCCGTCCGCACTGTGCTACGCCTGCTACGTTCTCAGCGGCCAATGATCCGCTTTGGGTCGCTCGCCTGCACGACGCGGCAATGTCGGTAATGTGATTAGAGCTCGGTACGATTTTTCCGCATCATGGCCCGGCGGCTGTCGTCTGCCCGCGTTCCCCGTGCGTTCCCCGGGCACCCTCGTGGTAGTAAGCGGGGGCGGATAATACTGAGCACAGTCGCTACTCGGGAGGAAAATGGCCACTGCCGTGCAGCCGGACCGGTGGGGCTGAGGGAATGTGTCGCAGGATGGAGCACAGACTCGAGGGACCTGCCCTCTTCCGTGCAGGAGCCATGTGACCTTTGGGCAAGACAAAAACTGGTGGTCCGCGAATCGCCCACATACCGATCCCATGCCACGGGATTTTGGCGAAATATTTACTCACGCACCAATCAACTGACGCTAATGGCGGCGACACACGGCGCGTGGCATCCCGGCGGAGACAGGCTAATGTGCTGCTTCCCATTCACTGGCATGGTATTTGCGAGACAATTCGTGGCTAATGTGTTCCTTTCCATTTACTGGCGGTATTTGCGAGACAATTCGTACTACACGGTCATGCATTTATCTTGAATCTCGATGTAACCTTTCACGACTTCTAGATATACCTAAGCATGTTACTTATGTTGTACGGGCATGTGCCCACCTACCTACCTACAGCAAAACAAAAAATCGCTAACGGGAGCAAAAGCCACGCTGGAAGGTTGATGCGTCACCGGTTCAGTCATTTTTGACTAGACGCAACGTAAACGATAACGTTCCAAAACGTGTGCCTAACTACAGGCATATACAACATCCATTTCCAATTGTCTATATAAAGTCGAGCAATTACCTATACCTATAAATTATTAGAGCATCAAAGTGATTTGCTATTTTCATTCACTTGACCCATATTTTGAATGGGAAGATTAACCGGACGTGACGTGTGCAGGTCGTGACGTCAATGCTCTACAATCAGGCCTTTACGCCGCGCAAGGCCTGTATCAGGCCTATACATAAGGCCATCTATTATAAGTATATTAGTTATAGTAGTTCCGTGGTCGTTACCCTCGCCGGCACAGGCCATTTTCCGTCCTTCGACGGCACAAGGGCCTGGTACGACCCCCCCTCGCGTTTGGCCCCTGATCGAGCTAGAGCTTTGCGGAAAAAACGAGCGTGTTACCCGTCACGAGAGGAAGCCGATGATACCCAATTTCAAGGTCCTAGGTCATCGGGTGACCTTCCAGGTCAGGTCAATGACTCGAAACCCGGGGAAATCGGGATCTGCTGAGGAAGCCGATGATACCCAATTTCAAGGTCCTAGGTCATCGGGTGACCTTCCAGGTCAGGTCAATGACCCGAAACCCGGGGAAATCGGGATCTGTTAGAAAGTCGTAAAGTGTGGCTGCTATGTGGTTTTCCGGGGTGCTGATCACGAATATCGTGTTAGTTTTGATTAGAGATGATGTCTTTAAGCATTTAGACCAGGTCGGGTCAGGTCAGGTCAGGTCAACCGGTAGGGGTTGTGACGGGTATTCGTAATACGTGTCAACCGCCTCTGACAGCTTCGTAACATGTTACGAAGGCACCAAAACTACCTCGTAAATGTTCACATGGTTGCTAATTCGAATTCAACTCCAAAAACTAGCCTAGAAACATGTAAAACTCGAAAAAGTGAACCGAGGTCACCCGAGGTCACCAAAGGTCAATGACCTGACCTGACCTTCAGGTGACCTTGACACCCACCCTAATGTATGGGAGCAACATCAAATCACATGTCTGAACGTTTGAAACCACGAAAAGCTTGCAAACGCGCGGCTAATGCGAGCCGACATACGCCGAATCGCGATTCCGGCCAAACATGGTCTCGGAAAAGAGGTTACAGGTCAAAGGTCATTTGGGTTAGGGTCATGAAATTTTCAGGGTAGGTGTAAAATTGATCAATGCGAGGGTACTGAAAGTTTGCCTAATCTGAAGGCTGTCCTGTCACCGTATAACCTGAAGCTGGCAGATCCGTGTAGGTATGCGAAACTCGTGAAAGTCGGCCGGTTCCCCGCATATTGAAAAAGAACATCTTGTATGACAGCTGTTGTTCCCCCGGAGGCCAGACACATACATTTTGCATCGGTGCAGTGGGGTGGAGCATTGGTGCAGCCTTCAGCCTATATTATTATTGGGGCCAATTTGATCGTATTCGACGGTATAGTCAATAGTGGAATTAACATATGGAAATGCAGTCACTCGACAAAGCACAACCTGTTGAGGCATGTAAACCAAATTTACGGTCAGTGAAGATACATGACTTCCAAAGGCAAAAAAGTAAAAGGCCTTCTAAACCAACCGTCGCTGATAGTTATTGGTTACGTTTGCATGTAACTTACGGACAAACTTGGCCTGTGGCCACTGCAGGCTGGCTGTGTTCGTTGCACCAGTGGCGCTAGCCCTGCCGAACTGTTCTCCGTCAGGAGGGTGTCTTGCCGTCGAGGGAGTCACCGAATCAGGCCTGTTCTCCGGCTCCTGGCGGATCACTGAGTCTCTCAATATTGACTCTACTTGGGTCACCGCCACCGATTCATAGACACTCGTGTCAGTTGAAGGGCGAGACGAACTGGCAGAGTTCGGTCGGCTAATGCCCTTCACGCCCTCAGGCTTCGCAGCAGCCGAAGGGCTGGCACGGAGCACTCCGAACTGTTCGCGTTTTAGCACTCCGTCCTCAGCCCGAACCATCAGCCCGGCTTTCAGCGATCGGCCGGGCCCGCCGATGGTCACATTTAGTGGCGCTACCGTTGACCTCGTGTCCTTCCACTGATGGTGCCCCTCGTCGCTGTTGTTCTGACCATCCTCAGCCGGAGGTGCAGTCGGTACCGGACCCCGTCTCGGCCGGCCCTGGTAACGGCGCTGGTAGTACTCGGCGCTGCGACCTCCTCCTGCGCCGCTCCTGGCCACCACCGGCGCCACCAGAAGGATGGACAGGAGCAGCATTGACAGGGCGGGCAGGGGCCGCAGGTAAGCCGCCATCAGCAGGGTGGCGTCATCTCCTCCGCTGCGCGCCGCAAGACAGGGACGGATTTGGAGCAGTTGGGCCTTGGTTGAGGTCCATGCCTATTATCCGCGAGGCCATTCAAAGCTTGTCATTGCCTTGCTTGCTGACAGAACGATACTGTTGTCAGTAGTGCCGCATTCACAGGTGAACTTTACGAAGCTCGTCTTCTCTGAGGCCTTCAACCTTCGCCATTTTTAGCGCTTACCGACTGAATCAAATCTCGATGCAATCTCGGTCCATTGTAGCCAAAGCAGGCACTAAAACCACTGTTGGCAGCAGCAATCCAGCAGAAGTCAGAACTCGAACACCCGGTCTCGATCGGTGCACCCTGGCGACTGGCTCCTCATTGTCCTCGGGGCCTGGCGACGGCATCTGCCGGTCACGGCTGGTGGCCCCGGGTCATGCCTGATGACCCGGGTCACGCCCAGTGCGCGAGCCCAGCCGACGACAGGCCGTCAACAACAACTGGATGCCAGAAAAACGCAGCGGAAGCGTCGCCGACACGGTTCCGAATCGAAAGCGACCCGTCGTCGCTCGCTGTGGTCTGCTCGGCTGGGGGCGGCACTTCCGTGGCGACGGAGGGAGACAGTTGTGGAGAAAGGTTGCGGTTGGACGAGATGGACCTCGTCTCAGACGACTGACAGGGCGACCGGGTGAAACGCGGGCTCATTGTGCCGGTGTGTACATCTTTACTTGCTTTAATACTTTATGCGCCTGATTTAATGTCTTACTGAACGCACCGACTACGATTGTCTGTCTCTTTGACCTGCCTGCAATAACTGAAGGATCATAGTAACCTCATGTTATTTATAACACAAGCAGTGGCGCGGGAACCGGGGGGGGGGCTAGGGGGGGCTGAGCCCCTCCAACTTTTCGGCTGGGGGGGCTCGTAATGTATTTGAGCCCCCCCCCCCCCCCCAGCTGGAGGAATCGAAATCGGAAATCTACCAACACAATTTCATAGATTCATACATAGGCGCGGGAACCGGGGGAGAGGGCAGTGGGGGAAGCTTGCCCTCCCCAAATTAGGGGTTTAGGGGTTGTGAGTCACAAAGAAAGAAAGCATGTGAGTGAAAAATCTACCTATTTTACTGACTCGGCAACTCATTTGGCAGCTTAAAGCCTTTATTCCAGGTTGCCAAAACGGTAGTTTCTTCACTCAGCTGAGACGGAATACCTCACTTTTTTTGCAAATATTTTCTTCTTTTTTTTTTCGTTGAAAAGGCCAAGGTCTGAAAAATAAGTGGCCTAAAACCGATGAGAAAACTAGATTTGGGGGTACCCTAGGTTGATCTCTATGATGGTTCAGCCCCCCCAGTCTGGAAGAAGTTCCCGCGCCACTGAACACAAGTTATTACTCGAGCAGCTGCCCCGAAATTGTCATTAACGGTTGTGCCACTTGTCGCAGCACCGTCACTGATGGTATCTGTCTATGTTCGTTTGTTCACCGTTGCATGATATTGAACGACACACACCGTTCGCCCATCGTTTGTGGGCGTCGCAATCTACCGACTACCCGCAGTTCTATGATACATTGCGTGCGCCTCCACCATGTCACCACCGATCACCAAACGGCTTTTACCGCCGGCCGGTCTTTTGTGATGGTGACTTCACCAGAGTCTGGTGACGTCAACTCCGTAAATGCCGTTTATAGTGTACTGGACGTTTTTAGGACGGTCTGATGAGAGGTGTGTTTCACGGTGTCTGGCGATGAGTCGAGGTGCATCAGCAGTTAGAGGTATCAAAAATGCTGAGCGATGAGCATGGATGGAGGATGGATATCACCTACATAAGCTCTTCATCTAGGTACAGATCGAATTTTCCGTTTCCAATTTTTCCATCGAATATGACATTAGGTATGGAACAAATAAAACTTGGATCAATAATTGGAGCACCATGCCGCCTATCACATATTAGCATTTGCTGTATTCCAGAAGTCTCACTTCTTTTAGAATGCCTAGATCGTTTAGCGATGTTTGATGTGATCCTTTATCTGTCCAGTATGTAATAGCGCATTCGGCGCCAGCCCGTCAACGCGGCTGATGGTAGTGACTCGTGGACCAATCGTCACAATTGTGTGTTAGCGATACCAACTTGTCATCAGCCCTGTGTCGCAATCGACGGGGTGCAGGTTCGGTGACTTTTGTGGGACGGGTGATGTGACTCTCGAGTGCGTTGGAAAATCACCCCCAACCCTTCAGTTGTGGCGGTCAAGCGTGTCCCCTTGTGGCGGCAAAGAACTTTGATTAGGCGAAACGCACTACACAAAGGTGCTTTCGGTGATTTCTGTCGGGTGCATGCCCTTTGTTTGGTTCCACGAGACTATTCTAAAACAAACAAAATAAAACAGTCTTTATTATTTTCCAAATAAATTTTCCAAATAAACAAGCATAAAGGGGAAGGAGGGTGAATTGCGCCACCTTAAGGAAAAACGCTAATTGTAAGAAAACCGCTGGAGATATAAGCATGCACTGGTAACCATTTCAAAGAGGAACTCATTGGCTACGATTTAAGAGTCTCCCGATCAATTAAGAATGTTTCGTTTGCTTCTGACAGCTGCTTTTTTCAGAAACATGCAAAAGGGCGCATTTGCCAACAACTGCTGTAAATTGCGCCAGGGGGATGGCGCAATTAGAACTTAATTGCGCCCTATACTTTAACATGGCTAATCGAATGATACGAAATGCATACACCCCGGCAGTCTAATGTCATTGCGGCTTGCTTGAACATTCATAATGTTATTCAGGCTGGATAAATAATACATGTAGATATAAATCGCGATGTTTTTTTGCCCAGGTAGATAACTTGACATGTGTCTGTACCTACGCTTGTAAAAGTGCAACGAAAACGTTTACTGTAACCGACTAGATATATGTGAACGTATGCGCTTATACGGTTAAATTTTCATTCGTTTCTCTCAAAATTAATAATTTTTTATCGTTTCGACAACTTTATGACATCAATTTTTACTTTTTTATCATAGCTGTTACCTCTCACGCCTGAGTCCATGTTAAAAATGTATTTTGTCAGTTACACCACAAGTTCGTAGCCTAAATGGCAGCTGCATTATAAGTTTGACGAGAGAAGTAATTTGCGGACTGACGACAGCGGGTTGCTCCCCTGCCTGATTATTAAACTCCTTCTTTATTGCAATCAGTTAATGATGCATTCATACTGTCGTGATACAATAGCTACATCATTATTCTATTTGCGTCCCCCTGGCGCAATTGCCGTGGGCGCAATTAGAATTGAGGTACTTTTTAACCCTCGCCCGTATAGGGGGGGGGGGGTCGAACGGACCCCCCCCCCATGGTTTTTCGCGAATAACTCGCGTAAAAAGCGGCCGATCGCGACGAAACTTTCAGTACCCTCGCGTTAATCAATTTTACACCTACCCTGAAAATTTCATGACCCTGACCCCAATGACCTTTGACCTGTGACCTACTTTTCGAGACCATGTTTGGCCGGAATCGCGATTCGGCGTATGTCGGCTCGCATTAGCCGCGCGTTTGCAGTCTTTTCGTGGTTTCAAGCGTTCAAACATGTGATATGATGTTGCCCCCATGCATAAGGGTGGGTGTCAAGGTCACCTGAAGGTCAAGTCAGGTCATTGACCTTTGGTGACCTCGGTTCACTTTTTCGAGTTTTACATGTTTCTAGGACAGTTTTTGGAGCTGAATTCGAATTTAGCAACCATATGAACGCTTACGAAGTAGTTTTGGCACCTTCGTAACATGTTACGAAGCTGTCAGAGGCGGTTGACACCTACTAGGAATACCCGGCTGGACCCCTACTGGTTGACCTGACCTGACCTGACCCGACCTGGACTTAATGCATAAAGACATCATCTGTGATCAAAACTAACATGATATTCGTGATCAGCGCCCCGAAAAACCCAATAGCAGCCACACTTTACGACGTTCTAACAGGTCCCGATTTTCCCGACTTTTGGGTCATTGACCTGACCTGCGAGGTCAACCAATAACCTAGGACCTTAAAATTAGGTATCATCGGCTTCCTCTCGTCACGGGCAACACGCTCGTTTTTTCCGCGAAGCTCTAGCTCGATCAGGGGCGAAACGGCAAGGGGGGGGTCCAACGGACCCCCCCCCCCCCTTATACGTTCGCGGCTGGAAAAACACCAATACGGGCGAGGGTTAATAAAAGCGTAGAAGTTATCATAAAGATGTTGAAGGAAGTTTACTGTTTCAGTGAAATATAATTAAAAAGGGTTTTTCTTTCTAAATAGGAAGTGTGTATCACTTCAATCAAGTTCCTATCACTGTGAAAATCACACAAATATCGCAAATTTTTATAGCTAACGGTTCAAAATACTGCAAAAAAGTTAAGAAAACGCCGTAACATCTTTGATGGCGTAATGAGCTTTGCTGATTGGCTTCGTCGGAAAGCTTGGGCCATAAAGGGAACTATCCAGTGGTGAAAATAATGTTTTCGAACACAAAATTATAATCATGCCATTGAATCCGTGGAAATGTTGGTGGGCGCAATTGGTTAGGAGGGCGCAATACACCCACTTTCCCCAACAAACTGTTCACGAACAGACATGTCCACGAACAAGGTAAGAAGGAGTGGATAAGACTCTCCTCTAGCCGTTTCGCCCCTAATTGAGCTGGAGCCTTCCGGAAAGGTAGTTGGCTCCTCATATTTTGAGCCACTGCGCAGTGCGCACCGTTTCTTTCTTCAATCAAAGTTTCTCGGAGCCAAGGGCAGCGCGTGGGTTGAAAATAACAAGGCCATTAGTAAAAACTGGATTTGGAAGCGTTTCTTTGGCGGCTCGCGGGAGCATCAGCATCCGGATTCCGGCTTGCCGCTTTTTGTGTGAATAAATATAGCTAATCACGTGTAACGGGAGAGGACGATTATTGCAAAAACTGTTATGCTGATACGAATCGTGAAACAATCACAACATTTCATTATGCATATCCTTTACAATTGCTCATACGAGTATAATGAGGGCTTATACTCTACACAATACATAGGTAGGTACTGTCTGCAGAGCTTGTCCATCTCTTGCTAAATACAGGGGCTCAACTACTTAATTAACCCTCGCCGGGCCTATTGGTTTTCTACATACCTATACGCGCCGGCCGAGGGGGGGGGGGCGAAGGGGGGGCTCGTACGACCCCCTCACCGTTTCGTCCCTAATGGAGCGCTAGAACGGGAAAAACGAGTGTCTGCGCTGATACGAGACACAGCGACTGGTACCCGATTTTAAGCTCTCACGTCAACCTATGACTTCTGAAGTCAGGTCAAATGACTCAAGGCACGGGTTCAGTTTTTCATCAATAACTTCCTATAAAATGGTTGCCACAGCCGCGATTTTGGCATCATCGTGTTCGACTCGCTCAGGCGCGTCGAATGATATACTTTTGTTCCTGAGCCATTGGTGGCTTTTCCGACTTGCTAGCTCAATTTGATCGGGAGTTTACATAGGGCTCGCTGCCAGAGAGTGGAATTCCGATACCGAGACATTTATTCCACTAACGAGACATTTCAGGCAGGCATTCCGCTAGTTCTGACGACCTATCCGGCCTTCTGGCCGACGAGCTATATCCGGCCGGTATCGGAATTCCACTATCTGGCAACGAGCCCTATGCAAACGGGGCTATTGACTAAAACCTCTTATGGCCCAAGTATAACGTCATAAATGATGTCACGCAAGGTCAACAATGCAAAAGTAAAGCATCGAGCCTTGCAAGGAAGGAGTGCAACAAATCACGAATCCGTTTGCAATTGAGATAGTTTGAGATCGTTCCCGGCGCTAAAATAGCAGTTTCCATTTTTCCCACAGGCTTATAATGGTGAGGTCACGTGACCGACTTGACCTCATGTAGGTAACGTTTTAGGAAAAATCCGAGATATTCAAGTTGTGAGACCTCTGGAGGATACTACGTCCTGTAAGTTTCGTCTCCTTGTGAAAGTTCCTCTGGCATTGAGGGCGTTGCGAATTAGCGACATCTGATGATCGTGCAGAGGTTCACTTATGACGTCATAGGTCAGTGACCTGACTTGACATGAAAATGCAGTTGGTGTCACAAGATGCGGCTTGGATCAAAGGTCAGGTATGCCAAGTTTCAGCTCTCTATCACCGGCGTGGCCGGAGCTATCGCGAAAAAAAGCATATGGGGGAGAGGGCACCCGCTCCCCACCCCCTCGGCCGGCGAGGGTTAAATGAGTATAACTTTCTTTCATGTTTGCAAAACGCTGTTATATCGAGAGATCGATCCTAGCTGATTGAGGTTGGAATCTGTCTATACGTGGGAAACTAACTGAGGGTCTGAGGGATGGTGCCAGCCTGAGCGCCGGTACCTTCTTACCTGGGTCGTGGACCATGCTCGAGCGGCGGCGCCTGAATGGAGGGCGGTGCCCCAGAAGAGACACCCTAAACCTACATAGGTATGCACAAGCCGGCATTGACGTTGCACTTTCCAAAGTTGGGGCGGCAAGTGCGACCCCCAAAGTAAGTATATAGTGACATATACATATACATATAAGCCTCCACCCTCCACCAGTGGGCGCTTGACGGCGCCACTGTAGGTCACATGCCCCCTCAACGGCGCAGAGATGGCGCTATAGTCTCACCTGGCACTGGTGGTCGGACGCACAGGTGGACAGGCGGGACGGGGCGTGCATGGACGGACGCAGAGACGGGGAGACGGAGAGACGTACGGACATGCAGATAGAGATACACATACGTGACTGGTGTATGGACGCATATATGGAAGTATAGGGCAATGTATAGAAGTATAAGGCGAAGTATAGGGGAAGTTGGGGCAATGCCGGAGTTGGGGCAAAGCCGAAATTCGAGATATTTCGAAAACCGTAAGACATGGATGCCACCTGTCAGTGATGCTCTGAAGCTTAAGTGACTACAATTATCGCATGTTTGTTACGAGTCGTCATTCGGAATGCTTCGGCTGTGAGGGCGCCAAGAGTGTTTTCAAGGTACGCGTTCCTTGTACTACATGCGCCTTTGAAGCTGCATATCTTACTCATTATGCTACCGTTTGTCTGGCCAATTCGGTCAAGTAATCTTCAGCATGTCTTTGCATAAGTGTGCTGCCTATTTGAAATTTATACGGCACGTTGAAAAGTTATGGGCCTGCAAATGAAAGTATGGCTGGCTGGGGTAATGCCGAAAACGTGCAATTACGCACGTTAAAGCACGCTACGTGGACTTTACTGCTGTAGAATAGCAACGCGAATTTTTAGTCACACAAATTACACTTTCAACCGACACAACGGGCTGTTACCTATAAGGAATTATTTACCTGGCATTTTCTTATTATATCACACAATTATAACTTCCAGTGTGCACCAAGCGTCCTCAAGCTCTTAAAACGCGTGTCAGCTTTGATGAATTCTGGATAAAGTTTGAGATAAAGTGGCAAAACATCAATGTCGGCATTCCCCGTAGATCATTTCTCCCATTTTCGGCTTTCCCCGCAGTCCGGGGCAACGCCGAAAAAGTCACTTCTTTGATATTTTTAGTTTGTGCGCTTAACGGTATGCGAATTCATCAAATCCGCCTGGTATGTTTGAAAGGCAAAAGACTGGCCTCTCGAATGACGCCAACAAGAATAGCTTATGTTGTCTACCTTGCGTGCTACGGGCGTCAGAAAAAAAGTATTCGGCGTTCCCCCAACTTCCCCTATACATGGATGGGGCGGGAAGAGAGACAGGACGGGCCAGACAGAGTGACAGATAGACGAGACTGACGGTGTGAGTGCGGAATTTAGGGTGTCCCAAATTTCACGAAGTTTTCCAATTCACTTAGGATACACCGGGATCCCGTTCCTTGGTTCATTTGAACCTCACACACCAATTTATAGAGTAAACTACCGGTAAACAAGGTTGCCGCTAGTGCTCTGAAGTTTTATTTGCATTTTGGTGTTATATGATAGTGCAGCGTTGTAGTCTCCGAATGCAAAATGGGAAATATATGTAAGCAACGTAGCAATATTACCTTCTTCGATGCTCAGTGATGCTCAGATCCCACGCACATTGCACAATGATGAAAATCCGGGTTTATGTACGCATACATACGTGTGAAACTGTGTGTGTGCGTGCCCGTATGCCTCTGTGCGTGTGTGTATGTGTGTGTTTGTGTGTGTGCGCGCGCGACTGCGTGCGTGCCTACCGGATAGAAGGCAATGCCAATGCCAATGCAGTTTTAATCTTGGTGTGGGTGATTTCATGTGCCGCTGATTTCGTTTGGGAGTAAGCGATCAAATAAAGGTCTCAGGTAAGTGCTTCAAATGTCTCGCTTCAGATCGAACCGTCTGCGGCAATGGCACACCACATAAACGCAGATTGAACAGAATCAAATTTACGAGGTGTGGCTAAAAAGAAACCGGACTGCTCGTGCTGGCCATAAAGTAGGGGGCCCGAAAACCAGCGAGACACTTGACATTAATCTTTATCATATTATCGTGATGTGTGCCAAACGGCATCTCGATATCGCTATTATTCTCCTTTCCACAGCTCTTTATTTTATTAATGACGCTGACGCTGGTCACTCTGGTCTGGGTGTCTTCGACCGATTCAAAATGAGTTTGCTTGACGACGGTTTTCATTTTAGGGAACAGCCAAAAGTCACAGGGAGGGAGGCCTGGCGAGTAAAGAGGGTGCTTGAGCACCGCGACCTGCTTTACGGCAAAGAACTGCTTAACACTAATGGCAGAATGCGCGGGCGCGTTGTCGTGATGCAGCACCCAGTTCTTGGCTTCCCAGAAACTCCACTTGGTGCGTCCGCTCGTGAGCTGGGGCGTTCCAGGTCTTCCTTGTAGAAGTGCTGGTCGACTGTGGTACACCTCCGGCACGAGCTGGCGGTGAACGGATCCCCTGTGATCGAAAAAGACGATCAATGTCGTCTCCACCCTCGACTTCGACATGCGCGCGGACGTTGATGGACCTCCAGATCTTGGGGTCATCACCGACATCTTCACGACCAGTGCCAACCTCGTATGCCATTCAAACACTTGCATGTGACACATGACTTGCTCCCCATAAACAGTCTTGAACAGATTCAGCGTCTCTGTTGGACTTTTCTCCTGTCTGGCAAGGAAGTGATGTTCCTTCTTTTTTTCGACGCTCGTTGTAGAAGCCTGGCGGTGACACAGCTGTCAAACATCAATAAAACAAAGAGCTGTGGAAAGGAGAATAATAGCGATAACGAGGTGCCGTTTGGCACACATCACGACAATATGATAAAGATTAGAGTCAAGTGGCTCGCTAGTCTTCAGGTGCCCTAGTTTATGGCCAACACGAGCAGTCCGGTTTCTTTTTAGCCACACCTCGTACATTGCAGCTATGGGTAGGGGAAGCCGGGGGAAGCCCGGCATAGTAAGCTCTTTTTCATTTTTATTACATACCATACGTGCTGTATAAAATGTTGATATCCTGTTAGCTAGCGAAGTTCATTGGCTGTGTCTTCCCAAAAATTCGGTTTCGTGGAATAAGTATAAGGTTGAGAAAATCGAGTTTTAAAAAAGTGTGGATTTTTCTGGGGTAAGCCCGGCATAGGGGTAACGCCGGCCACCTCCCCAGCGCTTTACAACGAGTTGATGAAACCATTATGTGTCCTGCAAATATTACCGGAAAGTGAAATATTAACGTACTCATTAGCTCTGGACATCTTAGAGTTTATGTCACTACTGGTATTTCAGCTAGCGTCTACCACATATACAGCACAGGTCGATGAAAATCGTGATGCAAAATTGACAAAAAAATGTGAATTTCAAAATTCCTTAAAATTTATTTTTCTTTTTTTACCTTAATGCATCATATTGCATATCATTCGACTCGGCTGATGAAGAAGAACACAGCGACACCATTTTTGAAGCTCTAGCTTCATTGTCTGTCGCGTTATCTGCAAAAGCGTAGTTTGACCCTAGTTGACCTTAAGTGACATGACTGGCTTTGTCTATGATAACATGTTTATTTTCGAAATTTATCTTTGATCTAGGTGTAAACCAAACCTGCTCAGTACCTATTATCTCATGGAAAACAGTGGTTTAGTGGCATTGCTCTCGGTTGGGGGTAAGCTTGGCCACTCGCCCGTGGTTACCCCAATGTGATAATTTTTATTTTAGAACAGCGATGTTCGAAAAAATGTCATACTTAAGCCAGCCTGCCTCGTCATCCCTCACTACAAACACTTCAACGGACCTTACATAACATTCGTATACATATTAGTACCTACTGTATGGTATAACATTAACAGTGCAACATATCTCACTTTTAGCTAAAAAACCTTAAAATATCATTTTTGCTCTATACCTTTAACAATATGCAATTTTTGTTAGCCATAACTTTTTTGCTGGCGTTACCTTAGCTGCCACGCTGAAAGGACAAACAGTTGAGCATTTTATTGTGAATAATTTAGCCGGAAACGGGGTGGCCGGGCTACCCCCGCGCCCGGGCTTCCCCCGGCTTCCCCTATTAACTTTACGGTACCCTGTCCTGAGACCGTCCACGCGTAACAGCACCGTACCCTGCTCCGAGATCCGTCTAAACAAACATCATGCCCTGCTCTGAAAACCGTCTGAAACATCGTACCCTATTCTGAGCTGCTTCTAAAACATCGTACCCCATTCTGAGATCCGTCAAACATCGTACACTGCTCTGAGGTCCAGTTACACTCAACGGTCTACAGGTAACGTCATCGCACCCTGTTTAGTATCTGTCCACCACTACAGACCCATGTAACGTCCTACTTCGTGTGACCGTAAAGCGACCTGTGCCATGCCACCACCTGGGCCAGCGCCTGCAGCTGGTCCTCATCTTTCATTCTGTCCATCTCCTGTGCCAGCTTCACTCCGCGATCCGCTCCATCATTCACAACTGCCAGGCTGTTGACGTATTTGTGAACTGCGTTGTAACCTAAGATACTTTTCCATTTTTGACAGGCTCTTGCAACCATTCGAGGACGCACTCATCCATACTATGGATGAGTGCCTATGATTCTCATAGCCGGGTGCCCGGTGCAACCATTCGAGGGCGCACTCATCCAGATTCTGGATTAGTGCGCCCTCGAATGGTTGCAAAAGCCTGTCAAAAAATGCAAAAGTATCTCAGGTTACAACGCAGTTCACAAATGCGTCAACAGCCTGGCAGTTGTGAATGATGGAGCGGATCGCGGAGTGAAGCTGGCACAGGAGATGGACAGAATGAAAGATGAGGACCAGCTGCAGGCGCTGGCCCAGGTGGTGGCATGGCACAGGTCGCTTTACGGTCACACGAAGAAGGACCACGTGGGTCTGTAGTGGTAGACAGATATTATAGCAAGGTGCGATGACGTTATGTGTAGACTGTAAAGTGTAGATGGGCCTTAGAGCAGTGTAAGATGTTTTAGACGGACCTCAGAGCAGTATACGATGTTTAAGACGGATCTCAGAATAGGATACGATGTTTTAGACGAATCTCAGAGCAGGGTACGATATTTTAGACGGATCTCATAGCCAGGCACGGTGCTGTTGACGGATCTCAGAGCAGTGTATGATGTTTAAGACGGATCTCAGAACGGGGTACGATGTTTTAGACGCATCTCAGAATAGGGTACGATGTTTCAGACGGTTTTCAGAGCAAGGCATGATGTTTGTTTAGACGGATCTCGGAGCAGGGTACGGTGCTGTTACGCGTGGACGGTCTCAGGACAGGGTACCGTAAAGTTA